CTTGAAACACAAGAGTCAGGGTGGCTTCTGGGTAATACCAGATGGCTAGGCCTCAGACTGACGAAGCCTCTTGGATGAGGGGCGAAACGTTTCTTTTTAACAAAAAAACGAAGTCCAGATGACATGATTCAACCTTTTTTATTATTATGTAACATTTCTGGTTCAGAAATGCCACAAATTACGTATTTCTGCCCAAGTAAAAAAAAAACAGCATGGAATTTTTTGAGATTGTTCAAAGATGGCAGCAATCAACGCTGGGCTTGGCGCTGTGCAAACTAACCCTAAACTCATCAGTCTGGACAAAATGAAACTGTCTATAGAGTCATTAAAAGAGCAAAGTATTAATGGTTTATATCTTTTGCTCAGAACCAAGTATCCCTTTATTAAGGGTGTATATGCTAAAGAGGTCATATCCCAACACTTCTTAAAGAAGAATTACTGGAAAATACAGCAATGATAAATCATTTGCTCTTAATGCGGTCTTAAAAAAAACTGCGTAGTTTCTGTTCAAACTTGAAACAAACCAAAATGAGTAAATTTAGTGTACTCAAAACTAAACAGGAGAAAGGAAAGGGGGGAAGAGTGGTGAAGGTATTTCAGGCATCAAAGCGCAATGACTGAATGAGGTTGCTTGGAGAAGTTTTCATAAACAAGCTAGTGTTGGATCACAATGAGTGCTGTTTTTCTGTTTTCTTGTTGAAGCCATAAGTAGTCAAAGCCTTCCTAATGTGTATGGATATTTTTTCTTGTGGTCTGATTTACATCTCAGGTACCCTTCGACCTGTACGACGTAGTTTCTACGACCCCACCTCGGCACCGGGGCAGGGCTGTTTGTGGGAGTGGGAGAACGACGCCGGCAGTTGGACAGCATACGACACTGAGGTGGGCATTGCCATCCAGGCAGCTTGTGATCGTCAACAGCCCTGTCTGGACCTGGCACCTCTGGGTTTCTGCTACCTCATTGACTTTGAAAACATGACCCAAATCAACGGGCAAACGCAACGCTGCAGAAGAATCCAGCGTCGCTCAGACCTTGCTTACCCACTGGTTTCCGGGCCCTTACCCAGGTCTCACCATGCCTGGGGACCTATGTCCATGCCCGGCCATGGGGGACTTCTTGGCGTTGATGTTTCTAGTGTTGGTATGGGGACAATGAGGATGAGCAGTGGTGGAACAGGAAATGGAAGCGCCTATCCCAGTGGGGCCCTTCCTGCCTCAGCCATCACCTCTTTAGGACAGCCATGCGCATGTCAGCAGTGTATGTTGATGCTAAGCATCAAAGCAGGTACCATGTCGACTGCGCAAACTCTGGGTCGAAGACCGCTACAGATCAAGCCCCCCAGTCCCAAACTAAGCAGTTACCCTTTCCCAGGAGGTGCTTACTCCTTAACACTCCCTCGGCCTCCATCACTGTCAAGATCTCTGTCCCCTCACAGGACGGCTTTAGTTGGAGCAACGGGTGGCTACAGTGTAGCTGGTACAGGTGGAGGAGGTGGTTTGGGTATTATTGGCGCTGGGGGTTATAGCAGTACCGGCTTCAGTTTTGGAGGAGGCTTCCCCCACTCGCTTTCCCTTCTAGGGCCAGCCACTGCTGCTCTCTCCATCTCTTCGAATCGTCCACCTCCTCCTACTCTCCCACCCCCTCCGCCTCCACCTCCTCCACCCTGCACCACTCCCTCATCGACCACCGTCTTACCACCTCAACCCCCTCCTCCCTCCTCCCTCTCCGTTTCCTGTTCTGCTCCCACAGTACCCACCCCAGCCCCACCTCTCATCTCCACAGCTGCCTCTACCTGCACACCGTCGCCTTCTGCCCGGGTTCTGGGTCCGGTGTCTTCATCTGGTGCTGCCGCCTGTGCCGCCCCTCTACCGCCACGATCCAGCCTCGCAGGTCTGAGCCGTCCTGCATTGCAGCGTATCGCCATGGCCCAGTCACGAGCACTTATCGCCTCAGGGTGAGTAGAATAACACCGCATTAAGGCTTTAGTACCAGGTTACCCTTACCAAAATGTTTTGTAATTTATGTTTTAAAGATGCAGTTTCCTTTTAACTGGTTCCAATGTTAATGTGTAGAAATGACAAACGTCAGTGTTTGATATATGACACCAACGTTTTTGTTTGATTGTTATTGTTGCTACAGTCGATGGTTAGAATAGAGGTGGGGCTATGGTGTCATTGTTTCGAAAGGTTGTGTTTTGGCTGCCTAAAACTTAAGGGTGGCATTTCAAGATTTTTCTTACCGTGGTTCTCCGTTTTGAAATAAATATTTAGGGGCTCCTAAAACAGTTTTCGTGTGAACACAAGTCTGAAACAATAAAAAGTGTTTACGTATTCATAATAACCATGGACAGACCTACAAAGCACTCTGTGAGTACGAACACGGTTCTGAATGTCTCTGGTATCAAAATCGAAGTAGTAGTTTTAAATTATTGACTTGACACAGGGTCATTTGTATTCCTAACAGTTGTACTGGCAACGGTTGAAACTAGCCTAAAGTTACGGTAGTCAGAATCTTCTCTTTAAAAGTACCATTTCACATTTAATCAGTAAAATACAGTTTGCTGAAAGAAATGAATGGAAGCCAAACTGTTTTTATAGATAATCTGTTGCTGTTTCAAAAGTTAGCATATTCAGAAGACGGTTCAGCAAGATGGCTGCACAGACCAGTCTGTCTTTAGACTTCCTCTAGCCGGCCACGTCTCGCTCAGATGTAAGTTTTCAGAAATGAAGTAAGCTGGACAGAAGCAAAAGAAGCTTGGAGCAGAACTCAGCTGGGCTGAAGCAGAGTGTGATGGATTGTGTCGGACACCTCCCTGGTGTCATTTACTAAACATAGGAATTAACTCACTTTAGCGATGCTGTTTGTGGTTAACTGTTTGTTTTTACTAACTACAAAGTGGCTGTGCACCATCAACAACATTCCCCTGGTAATCTTATCTGTTTGTTGTTTAATCCCACGAGCAGGTTGTCGCAATTAATGTCTTCAGTTCACCACATTTAGGCCTGTCACGATAACTAATTTTGCTGTGCGATTAATTGTCTAAAAAATTATTGCGATAAATGATAATATTGTTTGAAATTTGACAATAATTATTTAGTAATGTCAAATTTAAGAAGAAATGTTGATTTATTTTGCGTGTAGAACCTTTTTTGACCACCGGATGGCAGTATAAGACTGCTTGAACCTAAGGATGGATAGTGAGGGAGTGAGCAGCGTGTCTCTTTAAGAAAAATGGGAGGGAGGTCCCTTGATGTGACATGGGCTGTCTCTTGCTCCTGATTTTCAGTTCTCAAAATGGCGGATGCTCGGTGTGGTTTGAGCTTTTTAGCATAGCATTTTTCACACAAAGCTTGTATTAAAAAAAATATCAGTAAACAAGTTCTCAGCTTCTTTATGCAGAGAAAAACAACTTTTTACGTGAAGGCACGGGTTTCAACCATGAATTTTGGAGCTTCGACAAGACGGAGGTTTTTCCCCGAGTTCGGGCTGTTAGCTTAGCTTGTAGCTTAGCTTCTCAGCTTAGCTGCTTTTAACAATCCAAAAACACGATTTTTGATCGTTAAAACAGATTTTAGAGAAAACAGAAAAAAGAGAAAGGGAGGGGTCAGGGAAGATCACCGGAGTTGATCCTTCTGTCATCCAGTGTCTTCAGTAGAAATCAAGAGACACGAAGAAACGATAAAGCCGATAAATGAAAATGAGGTTGATAATTTTAATTTATCGTGCGATTAATTGATTTGTTGTTTCTTGCGACAGACCTAATGACATTACTGAGCCGCAGCTATGCGGGTGGGCAGGGGGACTGAGGTGGCATAGAGTCCCGTCTCGGTCCTGGACTGAGGCGTTTTGTGATTGAGGCTATAATATTCTCGTAAACTTCTTTGGGGATTTGCCAGTGTTTCGCTGAAACAATGTCCCCTTGTTGGCAGTCAGATTATGTGTTGGGGATGACTCTCAGCTACTAACCATACCAAACATTTGCAATTTTGAAAAAAAATAGCCACATTTCTGCTGGCTACAACTGGTTATCTTGAGATCATTCCTAAAGTTAATCAGAAGTTTACATTCAGTGATTTCTTTTGGGGAATTTCAGCAGTTCGTGAGATATTTTACGTACAAACACAGAGACACAGACACATTATAACCTACTTTTCATGGTCGCATTAGAAAAATAACATTAAAGCTACTGCAAAGCTCTAATTAGAAGTATCATTTAAAAGAAATTGGTAAATAAAAGTGTAGCTGAAAAGTGAATAAACTTTTTCTGATGACCACCTCTTTTGGGAGTTTACTGAAAGCCTACATGAAACCAAATAAGCTCAGAAGAACAGCGGGACTTTAATCACTGTAGATTGAAGGAATTTCACGTTCATTTGGAGCCTTTTGTACACAACATTTTGGATCAGTGCTCATTAGCATTTGTGAGCCTTTAGGGTTTGGGACAAAGTCCACTAGGCTTGTTCAGCTCTTTGGAAAAACAATGACAGACTATGAAACTGAGGGTGCCAAATTCTCACAAGTGTTTAATTATTTTTCATGTGAATGTTGACAATACGCACTCGGTTAACAAAAGAAAAGTCCAGCTTTAAACGATGGGTGGTAAAAAATGTTTTTTACCTTTAAAAGTGCATTTACTGCGCAGGTTAGTGAGTTCGTACAGCTTTGCAGATAGGTAGATGTAAACAATTTTGGACAACTTGCTTTTTTTTGTTTTTGTTTCGTTTTTGCGTTCCTGTTTTTAATATTTCCCCAAACTGACTGAATAATTTCGGTTAAAGGTTTTCTGTATGTTTGAAAAGACGAGACGCTGAGATGATTTGAGAAGACTCAGACATTTAACTTTGCGTAACGGTCCTAATAAATTGTCTCATCCGGAAGTTAAACTGTTCTTCTATGAAAAGTCAAATACGTTCCAGTGTTTCCCCTAGATCAGCTCCCTTGGCGGGACGCTAGTTGCATACGGTGTATTTTTTTATTGACGGGGGATGGGGAGGTGTACGGGACAGTCACATCTATGTTGCCTGCCCATTAGCTTAGCGCTACGTTGCTGCTGGTTTTTATCAACGACGGGGGGAGGGTGATGGGGCGGAGCCACATGTGTGTTACCCGCCCGCTAGCTTAGCGCTACGTTGCTGCCGGTTCATATTGACAGGGTGGGGTGGGGGGATCACATGTTTAGTGCTATGTTGATGCCAGTAATTAACGACTGGAGGGAGGGGTGTAGCATAGCTAAATGGTAGTCGGTAGCATTTTTTGCTAGCGCATTTGTATTGTGACCCGCGCTACATCAATATTTGGGCTGGGTGAGGTTTTGGTGGACAGGGCGCTCGGTTCTGTTGATGGGGCGTGGCGCCCCGCTTGTATATTCAATTCAAAATACTTTATTAATCCCAAAGGGAAATGAATTGTTGTTGTAGCTCATCTTGGTTTCATTAGAGTTGTTATAGATGCTGATAGCTTTGGGCAGGAAGGATCTCTTGTAGCAGTCCATCTTGGATCCGAAGAAACGCTTCAAATTCCAATCCATCCACCCAGACACAGTAGACCTCTCGGTCTTTTTGGGCAGCAGGACTGCCTGAATCCTGGGCAAAACTCCTCCCCAAGCAAAGGCCATTTCTCCCAGCAGCCTGCCGAGTCCATCGTTGCCACGGACTTAACTGCAGGTGTCGGGGGATGATCTCGGTCCTCCCGCTGTAATGAGCCACATTTCCTGCTACCTCCAAGATATTGGCGGTCTGGCACTCAAGCACAGCCTCCAGGTAGACAGTAATGCATCCATGGCACCTCCTTTTCAACTCATTTGAGATTTGGGGCTGTTATTGAGCTTTTGAGACGTTAATCAGCTGCTCCCAGTTGTAGAAAACCACCTTGTTGTTATAGTTACGCATCATAACAAATGTCCAAAGCAAAAAAGTTTTCAGTAAAAATCCTTCCAGCTGCACAGCGTCTGATACCAGAGGAAGTAATCATCAGAAAAAAGCAATTTATATCCAGAAAAAAGAGGAATTAAGGTTTTCAAAAGCAAAACCTCAGAATGAATGTAAGAGAGCTACTCCAACATGCAGCCACCTTGAGCGGCGCAATTCTGGAACAATATGGTATATGGTAGGTGAAACACTGTATTTTAGTCCTTTACTAACATTTAACGTTAAAAGTTACAAATGTTGTCTTTGGTGCCTGTTTGTTTTCCGTATATATTAGTGTGTGTGAATGACAGGGATTAACTTTAAACGCTTGTAGAACGGTGCTTTATGAAGTTCTGCCCATTTCTTTGCATTAAATGACAGCAGTTCCGCCACATTTAAAATGGAGGCGACGTTGATGTAAGATTCCATGCTCAATGGGGAGTCCATGTATTTATGTCTGTGGCCCATGTCACATCAAGGGGCCTCCCTCCCATTTTTCTTAAAGAGACGCACTGCTTGCACCCTCACTATCCATCCTTTGGTTCAAACAGTCTTATACTGCCATCCAGTGGTCAAAAAATGTACTAGACACAAAAATTAACCAGAATTTCGTCTTAAATTTGACAATAATTACCAATTATTGTCTAATTTCAAACAATATTTTCGTTTATCGCAATTATTTCTGAGACAATCGCCCAGAAAACTTGTTATCATGACAGGCCTAGTTACAATGGTTATCAGTGGTTATAAATAAAGGTTGAATGAAAAAAGTTTGGCGTGTTAGTAGCTGAGAGTCATTCCCAACACAGTTTAAACGCTAACAGATTGCATAAGATTTGTTTTGGAATGCAAGACAAAGGGGAAAATGCTTTCGTTCAAGAAATGCTTTTTTAAACTTTGATCTTTTGGCTGTGCTGCGTCAGTTTCACCTCTAAGCCCAGATGAATATCAAAAGCAGAGGCTTGATGTTTCTGCCTCTGTAATCTCTGTGGTTTGGTGGTGTGACGTCCTGCTTCTTTGAATGTTTCTCGGTGAGAGTGCACGCCTT